CATTTTTCAATATTCTCTTATATGCATCAGATTCTTTGAAAATATTACTAACAACTAAGTTCATTTGATGCGCTATACAAGGTATAAAACCTTATTAGGATATTCGATTCTTAGTTATTGTCTATAGAAAAAAAGTTCATAACATTTATTAAAAAATAATCTAGATCTATAGAAAAATATAAGTACATTAAATATATTTAAACGTATCTTGCTGCCACATACTCACCAGCTGAATCTGATACATAGCAGTTAATTCGAATACTTTTCTTTTCTGCATTATCCATTATACTTTTAATAAGAATTTTATATTTTCAGTTTTTGATCATTGATTACTAATATTACATGCATTCCAAATTAAAAATACACCCTGAGAAGTAATTAAGACAACACCAAAAAGGTGCTCCTGCTTTATGTTTGTCCAACTATCAAAGACTGCAGTTATACCAACCCCATCTGCACATACACGTTCTAAAATATCTTCATTTAATTTTGTTAAAACCTTTAGAAGAATTCGATTACTTATCGTCTGCCGATTAGGTAGTTTTATAGTTGATATTATAAAATTAAAAAATCTTTTGTTTCTTGGTTTTCTATAAAAGTAAAAGAAAGACCATTTGATATGATCATATGTAAGATCAAATTCTTGAAATACTGATTATCCTTTTCAGATAGTTGACATATAATACAATTATCAAGAAATGTTTGTCTTTTTTTTGAAGTAGAGAAGCTTGCAGATGGAGTAGATTTATTAGACGATAAAACAGATTTATTAGTAAGTAAAAAATTGGATATTGATATTTCAGAAATGGTAGTGGAAATATTGTCTTCGCAATCAGAAATGTTTTTATTTGCTATTAACAACAATAATTAATATATTATACAAGCAATTATAAAATAAACTATTTAATATAATTACCTTCACTGTTTTTCTTTTTAGTATCTTCAGGTACTAAGCATGCATTAATTTTCAAAACTTCGTTCGTAGTATATTGTTCTTTAAAATTTGAACAATTTCAAAGATGACTTCAACATAGTTTCGCTTTATTGGAAACAAAGCATTCAGGCTTTGTAATCACCATAGGTAAAGTATATTTTCATACATATGAAAGGCAGACCACCTTCTTATTTGCTTTTGGATTATCGGGTGTGACCAAGTGAAAAAATTCCCTGAAGTTATGATTTTTCTTATCTATTGTAAAAAAAGTTAAGGGTATTACACA